GAGACTTTCATCCTGCCATGTTTCCAAAGAAGTGTGTTGATGCGTTTTGATGCATTAATTTTCAAGCTGTAGCCATCATTTAAGCCAAAAAAAAAAAGCCTGGAACTGTATTTCCTGTTAGTAGCTGTCTAACCTTGCTATCCTTTTTATCCTTTCATCCCTCTATCCTTCCATAGACACCCAGTGAGGTTCTATAGAAGATCTTTATGCTTGGACTAAAAGTTCAACTGATTTTCTTTGGTCATTTTTACCCTTTTGTGCATCAATTCATTCATTCATCCACTTATCACACCATCCTCCCATAGATATCCTTTGTCCTTCAGTATTTGTTGCAGTACAAACCTGATCAAATGTTTTGCTCAAATACAGAACTGCATATTCATATCACATAACCTATCCCTTCTTTCATCCTTCATCCATCTATCTTAACATTTGCAGAAAGAAAAAAAACAAGTTCAGATAAAGTTAAGAAGGAAATAAATATTATTTTTGTGTTGAGCCATGGTGTCTCACCACTCCCGCGGGGCAGCGCGACTCCGGACAGCGCCTCCAGCACCGAGCTCTTCCCCGAGCTCTGGTCTCCGATCACGGCGATGGCGGGCAGCGCGAGGTCCTTCTCCACACCGAGCGCGCGCAGAGAGTCGATCAGGTCGATGCACGGACGCACCTTCTCCTCATACTGCTCACTCAGGCTCGCGCTCATCTCCGACAGCTGATAAACTCGGTAAACAATCAACAATTATGAGCAAGTAATCTTATTTCGTGTGCGCTTTTACGCAGCAGCTCTGTTTCCTCTGTGGTTCTTGATAAACCGAAACTTGGACACACCGGGACGCTTTACGTACTGATCAAATCCAACGAATCGGTTCTTTCCAAATGATTCTACTAACGGAGTCGATTCTCTGAGTCACAAGCACAAATTAAAGCATTTTTGTCAAAGACAAATATATATATATATATATATATATATATATATATATATATATATATATATATATATATATATATATATATATATATATATACATCTTGTTAGCTTATATAGACAAGACCACATAAGTGTTTGCCACTGTAGCTAGTCATAAACAATAAACTCGACTCACTTATATAGCTTTGATTCAAAGAATCGATTCAGTGAATCGAGTCCTTTTGTGCAGTAAAAGGCCGAAAACGAAAGTAAACATCGGTTTTTGTCTTTTATTAGGTTTCATTTCCTGGTAAGGTTCAACAGAAAAGATCAGATGTGTTATAGTTATATTTAGGTAAAAAGTGTTCAGAATTACAGCAAAGTAATAAGAATGAAAAGTATTATAGCATAGGTTAAAGGAGCAATAGGTAATTTTCTTAACAATCAGTAATTATTAACATGTAATCTTATTTCGTGTGCGCTTTTACAACTCTGTTTCCTCTATGGTTCCTGGAAATGTTCACGTCCTGTGCTCCAAGGATGTTTCACCTGTCATGCAAATTGCCACCGAATCGGTTCTTTCCAAATGATTCTTCTAATTGAGTCGATTCCAGGAGTCGATTCTCAAACACAAACATATTAAAGACAAAAAAGATTTTTGCTATCTTATACGGACTGGACCGTCTGGGTTCTCTGTAGTGGTTTGTGACTGTAGCTGGCCTACACAATAACCTCTACTCACTTAAACAGCTTTGTTCTAAAGAATCGACTTAGTGAGTCGACTCTTCAGCATAAAATCCAAACTCGAAACGAAGCCTCGTGCTAAGTTTTGATTGCACAGAACAGAGAAAAAAGTTATATTTAGCTCGGTTTGAATAAATGATAGAAACTACTATAACATTTGTAAATGTCGACATTTTTAAATCGATATTTTCACCAGGCTAAAGTTTTTGCAGCCCATTATTCTTTGCTCAGTTATTCTTTTTTCTGAACTTCATCAGAGTTGCTTATTTAAAAACCCCCAAAAAACATAAAGCATCTAACTAATGAGAATACACTGCAAACTTACGCAGCATCCAGCAAATCATTTTAGAAAACTATTATGTATTTTGATAGTGTTTATAAACAATCATAAAAAAGTCAACATTATTCATAAATAGTAAGCATATTGAACGTTAAAAATGTGTTTAATCATTTTTTCTGTTCTATTAAAATACATTTGGGTGTAATAAAGGGTTATAGAAAGATGATATGCAGGTCACTAAGTGCATAGACAGTCAATATTGCATATTGTCTGAATAAAGTGATATATAGCTAGTATTAACCACTAGATGGTGCTGTTGGCCTTTTGTCATTTTCTCCAACTTTGCTGCTAGCTGTTGTTGTTGTTCCTCTTTCAGCTGTTGCTGTTAGGGGTCGCTACAGCAGATCATTGGTCCATGTATTTGATTTGGCACAGTTTTTATGCCATTTGTCTTTCCTGACACAACACTCCTCAATTTTATCCAGGCTTGGGACAAGCACAGAGAGCGCACTGTTGCATGCAACCCCAGTGGCTGGGGTTGGTTCCCTGGCCAGGAATCGAACCCGGGCCGCAGCAATGAGAACGCTGTGGCCTAACCACTAGTCCCCCAGCGACCCAACTATGTTGCTAGTTGATATCTCAGAATTTTTTTTTAAAAAGGAGAAAAGTACAGAAGTAACTACACACCCCAAAAAATTGACACTACACCATACACCCTAAGCACTGACCATTCCTCTTTAAAAAGTGGCTATATATCCTTAAGATTTAATCATATGCACTAGAAAAGTAGCAATGTACCATTAAATTGACACTACACCCTATACAGGGGGCAATATGCCATATAAAAAAAGCATCTGCACAACAAACATAGTCCTAAAAAGTGTCACTAAGCCCTAATAATTGGCTGCATGTCCTAAAAAAAAGCAACAACACACTCTTATAAGTGAAGCCTGATCATCACTTTGACCTTACTATCAATGCACGGATGCACCTGTTCCTCACACTGTTCCCTCAATCTCACAGGCTAACAGATCAAGAATTATTAATTATTATTACTAAGTAATCTTATTTCATTTATAGTGTGCACTTTTACACACCTCTGTTTCCACTGTGTCTCTTGGAAAAGAGTACCTGTTGCCCTGCAGTAGCTGAAGTGTGTGATTCAGAGCAGGAAAAACACTAACGTGCAGGAGCAGGGTTGGGAACCTGTGTGTTTTTGTTCTTTTTTTTTTTTTACATAATGACCCTCGTCAAAAAATCCTAAAGAATTCCAATAAGAATTCCTATCATATTTTGGAAGCATTCCTCTAAAATTCCTAGAGGAATTGTCTCAGATATAAATATCCTGTAGGACCACTTCTACAGGATTTATTAATGGGATCCATTTGGGTTCCTATTCAGGTCTGTATGAGAATTCAATGTGATGTTTGTAAGAATCCTAAAGGTGCACTTTTCCACTGTAATTTCTTTTTTTTAAACAAATAGTACCTTTTTGACTGTGTCTTGCAATTTGATGTAGCTCACCTCAACACAGACATTGTACAACGTCTGTTATATATATATATAAGTAATAGGAAAAAATATTCTTAACTTGATTCTAATTTTAAAGAAAATTAGGATTTTAAAACTCTCAAAGCATCCTCTGTAATTTCCAATAACCTCCAATAAATGTCCTAAATGTCCTATAGGATATTTATATAATTTTTTTTAATCTACTTATAGAAATTTTATAGGAACGGTTCCAAAATATGATAGAAATTCTAATTAGAATCCTGTACAAGTTTCTTATTTGACAAGGAATGTGTGTGTGTGTGTGTGTGTGTGTGTGTGTGTGTGTGTGTGTATTTAAACTCCCAAAGCATCCTCTGTAATTTCCAATAACTATAAAACACAAGTAAAGTGGACATCTGCGTCCTCATAGACGTATGTCATATAAGGTAGACATACTGAGCCTTGAAAATGTGCTTAAGGAAGTGTTTGTTCTATTAAAACCCATTTAGATGTAATAAGGGGTAACAGTGAGATTACATGGTCTTTAGGTGTATAGACAGTCTGAATAAAATGATATATAGATGGCATTAAACACTAGATGGCACTAGATGGTTGCTCAAACTTTGTCGCCAGTTATCTCACAAAAATAAAACGGTTTTAGTTCTTTCTTTTTTTATTTATTTTTAATCTTCTACTTACTATTCACACAGTCTGTGTGTATTTTAATCAAGTATATTCCAATCTAATCTAGGGGCAATATGCTAAAAAAACACCTACAAATATGAAAGTCTATAAAATCAAGGTACGCTAATAAGCACTAAAATGTGTAAATGTCATGCAGCCTACAAAAATAGCAATATGCCCCAAGACGTGACTACGCACCTCAAAAAATGACTTGAAAAGTGACTGTATAAAAGTAGCCATGTGTGCTAAAGTGATCATCCATCCTACAAAAATGACTATACACCCTAAGAAGTGGCCGTCCTACTAAGAAAAGTGACACTATGCTCTAAATAGTGATCAGCCACCATATAGAAATTGGCCACATCCCCCTAAGAAGTGATTGTTTATACTAGAAAAGTAGAAATGTGCCCTAAAAGTGAGCCTATACCCTAAACAAAGGGCAACAGGCCATCAGGATTGAACATCCACCCTACAGAGGTGACTATACATACTAAGAAGTTAACATTCCTTCTTAGAAAAGTGTCACTGTGCCCCAAACAATGGCCTCACACCCTAAGAAGTGATTATCTGAACTTCAAAAGTAACAATGTGCCCTAGAAAGTGACCCTATACACTAAACAAGGGGCAATATTCCATGAAAAGTTAACATTTTGTAGTATGGAACCTACAAATGTCGCTATAGGAAGTAAGAAAAGTTGTACAGTGCTCTAGAAAGTAACCATACACCATACAAAAAGTGACACTATGCCCTTAAAAGTTATTTTACACCCTAAAAAAGTGGTTTTATGCCCTAAGAAGTGATCATAAACATGCTAGAGACCATCATCGCCATAAATAATCTGCACAATTCACCGTATCATCATCATTTCCATCCAGCGTACGTGCGATTGTCTATTTTTGCGCATGGGAATGACCTTTTCCCCCCCAGATAACAGCCTACAGAGTATCATGTATTATCCCGACCCTTTCCTGTCTAAATCAATCAAACACACACATACACACACACTCATACACACACACACACACACACACACACACACACACACACACACACACCTTTCCCCTCATTGAGCTCGGCTTCCTTCCGTCAATTTCAACAAGAACCCCGTAAGTCCCAGCTTTGAGAAAAGTCTGAGAAACAAAAGTACTAGTGAGTAACCGAGTCAGCGCATAATCCTTTTTTCACGACATTTTAACCTCTTGAGTGCAAATGTACAGTTTTTTTTAGCTCCTTCGCTCCTGAAGGAACACTGGCGCTCATTTCGCAGCATTCAGTAAGGAATAGCACGCTCACACTCACTCTGTGTTGTGCTGTTACAGGAAAATAATCAGGGTCAGGATGGTGCGAAGAAACAGATCTACTGTTACTGTTATTTTCCTAAAAACAACACGTCCCAATGTGCTTTATTCCTCTTATACCACAGCCATTTGCCAATAATTATGATTATTTAAGTTAAGAACGACACATCATACATTTTATCCATTTATAGTTACAACTTTTATCTCCGCTGACACTGGAGACTCCTTCCCTAAATGTTAAAGAAACACCATCTTACAGAAAACATCACCATATCAATAATTACACATTTCCATTTCGTACAAATCCCTACGAATAAGCTGTTACTATAGAAACGTTAACGTATTAGAATGAGCGCATTATAATATAACGCTGTGATTTGCAGTTACACTACTCTCAGAGCTGCTGGTATAAGAAATGAATCAACACTTTCTGACCAATCAGAATCGAGTAGTCAACATTTTTAGCTTCCGGAGCAACATTTTAGTTTGATTCGACATAGAATTTTAAAATCTGAAGCATTTTTAATGGCATTTTAACTCCTTTTTCCTTCACTGCTGTTGTTTTTTTGTTTTATTTCGGTAGCTGTGTTAGCACGTCTTCGCAGAATGACTGCGTGTTGAGGGAAATTTAACACTGAATGCAGACAGCATTTGAAAAACGATTAGGCCACGTGCATGTATATAGGAGTAGTAGTACTAAGCCAGAGTAACGCATAGTTTTAGACCACCATAGTGATACGTGTATGTGTGTGTGTGTGTGTGTGTGTGTGTGTGTGTGTGTGTGTGTGTGTCTGGTCCTCCTCATGTGTCATTTTTATCTCTGGACTAGGCAGCCTAATCAGGCCAGAGTCTAATGTAAACCAGAATGTCTTTTTTTTCTGCTTATTTTTGCAGTCCAGAGCCTTTGAAATATATTAAACCAAAATGATTTTGAAGTCATGTACCGTCGGAAAGAATCGCTCTGATTTGTGATTAATGGACGGTATGATGATTACTGTGGGAGAAACCGCAATATCATCTTCTCACGTGTGTACAGTAGTGGTGTGATAATCGGCTGATGTGTATTTGCTCTACCGTTATATATAATGACCACTGTGTTCCACTTCTATTCCACTTCTAGTCTCGTTTCCCCTAGGCCAAGGTAGTTTTTTTTTTAAATCTCCAGAAAATTACCAGTTCCTTAATGTTGAAAAACTGTCAGAAACAAAATTGTTCAAAAGAGAAATCCACAAACCCTGTGCATACAGATTTATTTCATGAACATAATCAAATTACTGAAAACTTAGTCTAATTGTTTACATGTGTGCAATGATGATGTGTCTGTTACTATTGTTATTTTTCTGTCTGTAATATTTTTCTGGAATGTTTATTTTGTCTGTGTTTTGTTTGTTTCAATTTTGTCTGTAGTATTTTGTCCGAGTGGTTTGTCTGTTTGTATTGTATTGTTTTATTTGTATTATGTTGTTTTGTCTGTGTGCATTATTTGTCTAAGTATTTGATAGTATTTTTTTTTCTGTTTTGTCTGAATTTATTTTTGCTTGTGTTTTGTCTTGTATTATTTGGTCTGAATGAGTGTTTTGTCTGTTATTCTTGATGTAATATTTTGTCTGAGTGTTTTGTATTATTTTAACCCACATATTATGCCTGTTTGTATTGTTTTGTTACTGTATTAAGTGTTTTTTGTATTGTTTTGTCTGAGTATTTTGTCTGTATATATTATTTTTGTTTGCGTTCTGTTTGTATTTTCTTTTGTCTTCTTTTGTTTGGCACTATGAATTATTTTGCCTGAGTGTTTTGTCTATATATATATATATATATATATATATATCTGTATGTATATGTATTTTTGACTGGAGGTTTATTTTGATTGTATGTAATATTTTAACTAATATTTTAACTGTTTATGTATTAATTTTGTTTGTTTTGTCTGTATCTATAATTTTGTCCGAATGATTTATCTAACTTATATTGTCTGAGAATTTTGTCTGTTTTTTTTCAAGTGTTTTGTCTGTAAGTAAAATTCTGGCTGAAGTAACATTTATGTCTACATGCAATATTCACTTTTTAACTTATTAACTTTTCTAAGTATTTTCTCTAGTTTTGTCTGTATGTATTGTTTTGTTTTGATTCCTTTGAATAT